CCAACGGTACTATCGACTGAGGTGCTCGGTACCACAGCCACCGAAACTCTACGGTTTGCCGAAACTACACAAACCTGGTTTCCCGATGCGACCTATTGTTTCTTTCTGTGGCTCTCCCACATACCAACTATCCAAGTACCTGACGACAATACTACAACCGCTAACCGACAAATCCAGACATAAACTACAATCCACTGAAGACTTCATTAACGCTACCAAGACTGTTCAGATACCTGACGACTACAAACTAGTGTCATTTGATGTGAAATCACTGTTCACAAGTATTCCACTTCAATTAGCATTACAATGCACTGAGACTGCAATCCGAAAATCTACCGAACCACTACCGCTACCGACAGACGACATCATGGACTTGCTAAACATTTGCCTAACGTCTACTTACTTTCAGTACAACGGTAAACACTACAAACAGTTACACGGCACTGCCATGGGGTCTCCAGTTTCTGTTGTTATAGCAGAAATTGTGATGCAGAACATCGAGGAACGCGCCCTTTCGACTTGCCGACAAACGATACCGCTTTGGTTACGTTACGTTGACGACACATTCACCGCCGTTCGACACGACGAAATTGACGCATTCCACAACCACCTTAACGAACAAAACACTGACATACAGTTTACCAGAGAAGTCGAAGAAAATGGCAAACTTCCTTTTCTAGACTGCCTGGTAAGCCACAACGACAACTCATTACGAACGACAGTTTACAGGAAACCGACACACACCGACAGATTACTAGACGAGTCATCCTACAACCCTACATCACACAAAGCCACAACTATCAGAACTCTAACACGACGCGCACAACTAGTATGTGACTCGACAGACAGCTTATCCGACGAGAACAAATACCTTCACCGTGTTTTTACGAAGAACAACTACAACAACGACTTCATCCGACGAAACACTCACCGACCCACTACCACTACCGAAACAAACGACACCGCAACCCCTACGACTACAGCAACCATACCGTACATAAAAGGCATGTCTGAAAACATCTCGCGCATCTTACTACCCTTCAATATCCGCGTCGCCCACAAACCCATCACCACACTACGTCAGTTACTAACCAACGTTAAAGACAAAGACGAACCGAGGAACAGACAGGGAACGATTTATAAGATCAATTGTTCCGACTGCCAAGCCTCCTACATCGGTGAGACTGGCAGAAACCTCACAACAAGACTGACTGAACACAGACGGGCGACGAGGAAAGGTGATGTCAGCAATCACATTGCTGAACACCATCGACTTACCAACCACAACATTGACTGGGACTCTGCGCAATGCCTAACCTACAGCACTGACTATTTTCAACGACTGACTCTGGAAAGCTGGTTTACTAACTTAGAACAGACTCCCCTAAACAGATGTCAACAACTACCCGCCCCATACAAACGACTCATTCACGACATAAACATCACAAACGACCGAAAAAGAACAACCTAGCTTTACCGACAGACCGAAACAGACCAATCACGAACGACTTACGTCACTTGAGTCTTACAGCCAATAACATCACGGCAAAACCAACCGATCATTTCACACGAACTGGAATAAGAACATTCTACTGACAACAATCACTCACTTGACTCTGATGATGACTTCCGCACAGGTTGTCGAAACGTCAGTCACTGCCACCGACAACAGTCCTTCTCAGGACTACACTCACCCGGACGATCAGACTACACCTTCACGTACTTGTTTATCTCAAGCAGTTCCCGAGTAACAGCTCTGTGTACACCAGTTGGATTTTATTGCTGAGTTGTTCCGTGAATTGTAATGCAGAGGTCAATTCATTGGACTGCACTGAGCTGGAGCCATGACCAGGTCATTGCTGTGTTGTGTTCTTGGCAAAGACACTTTGCTCTCACAGATTTTTCTTTTCAGGAGTAGAAATTGGTTTCAGAAAATTGTCACCACTGCATATTTTATTGCATTATGGTTACTTTTTCAGCTACTTATTTCCTGTGATAAATTTGGAAGGACCTCAACTAGAATTTGGAAGACTGATTTCATGGATGAAGTTTGAAACAAAAGATGACTATGAAAAGTACTTGTTAAGACTAGAAGCTTTCCCAACACAGGTACATGTACTACTGGTAGCTACAAAATAATAAGAAAAAAACCTTACATTTTCATACTTTTGCAATGAATTCAGTTTTCTCAAGGACTCAATTATAGTTTTTCATTGTTATAGGCATCTGAAATAATTGGCTTACTTGAAGAGGGAGTTAAGACACGTCATGTACCACCACGGCTAACTGTGGTAAGGTTTTTTTTTTTTTTCAAACCAAGGACAGTTGAGCCGGAAGTAACATACTAGGGCTATGTTCAGATGAACACAGTCCAAAAAAATGTATGTCTTGTGAGAGAAAAGCATTGTGTGCAAACATGTAAAACTATGTGTCTGTAATGTTTTGAAATCTTTGAGGAGGAAATGCTACTGCTGCTGCAGTAATAAATAAACTTGGAGAGCTCTACACTGTGTATTCTACAAGAACAGCTCGTGTCCTAAAATGTCTGTAACGAAAAAAATGTCATAGTACAGGTTTAGTTGTTAAAGGCAATGTGATTTACTCCAGCCTGTGGATGAAGGGGCTTACTTTAAGGTAAAGATCAGCCAGGGATTAAGCATCCAGAGTTTTATTTGCACTAGACTCTACACCGAATGCAAATATGGCGTCCAATTTGAATTGCCAATGTTCTGGACTCACTAACCTCATCTTCACGTGGAAACACAAAAGGATTATTACATGTGTCATGTTGGTGATGTCCATGATTAGTCGTAGTCAACAGAAATTACATATTACAAGATAAAGTTAGTGTCTAGTGTACAACATTTCAAGTTCACAGTTGAAATAATTCAAATGATTTGAACTTACCATTTGTGTTTCACAAAAGCTTTGGATTCCTTTGCTTCGCTATGTTTCCTTGATGACCCACAGCACTTCAAAAAAAAGAAAAATATGTTATAAGAGAGAATCTTTCTTTTTAAACCCTTGTCACCTGACCTGTTTTTCCCATTTAATGAAGTCGAGGCAATTACATAAATACCAATGATATGAATATTTTTTACGAAAAAATGTTGACACTTGACTGAAAATGCAAATCATAATGTTTTGAATTTATTGTAAATTTTTGTTGTTTTTAGGTACAGGTACCTGAGCAAATCCAAAAAGTGTTGAAAGTAGACTTCACAGGCAATAGTGATCTTTTTAAACCACTGAAAAAGTTTCCAGAAACATTTTCATTGGAGGAGAGGTAATTGATTCAAAGTACCATTGTGCACTGTTTAAGGTAGCGTGGTCCCTATTTTGTAAGTATATTTGCACTTATCTAAGCATTATTTATTACATAATTTACATACTGTTTGTTGATTGTTCATTCTTGTGTTTTAAATTCTTTTGTAGAGTAATTTATTCTTAATTATTTTATAGGGAATCGTTTAAAGTGCGTGGTGTGAAACTCATAGAGGAGAAAGTTAAGCCAGCTTTTAAAAAGATTCATAATTATTATGTGGATGTAAGTAAATTATTAACAGTAAAGTAGTTTTTTTATGTGCAAGCTCATCACCAGAGTGATGAAGTCTTATCAAGATACTGTGAACATATTTTGGATTACTGCATTTCAACTACATATAATTCAATGACCGATCCGAACAGAACGACCTGCTTTTACTGACCAATCCGAACTGACCAATTGCAACACCAAAGTTAAAATGGACCAGTCAGTTTTACTGAACGGGACTTTTTTCTAAGCATTGTGTATATTTTTTTTCCTTACAGAAGTATCTTCCTCAAACCAGGGAGTCCATTTCTTGCACTCATTTTCCGGGTGGAAATGACTTTTACACACAGGTAAGTATGAAATAATTTTTTTTCTTAAGTATGAAGGGTAAAGATAGTGCTTCTATGGCATATGAAAAAGGACATTTATGCTCTGGAGAGAGTTCAAAGACGCGCATCCAGGTGTGCCCTTGGGGAAAATGGCAAAGATCTGTCTTATCAGGAAAGACTGGATATTCTACGTTGACCTACCCTAGAGAAGCGAAGAGAGTATCTATCACTGGTGGAGTGTTTTAAGACAGTTCATAGTTTAAATGGTCAAAATCCATCTTTGAATAATGGCTGATAGTTTCTAAAGAAACTGTTAGGGGCTGCGTCAGTGGGGGTAACGAAATAATTTGGATATTTTGAACTGCGGTTATAGATAGTATGATGCACGATCCTCGCAGTATGAACTTCATATATTCACCGTATCTGATTTATCATCACGGGTTTATTACGAATCAACTTAACGGCCAGCTCCCAGTTGGCTTGTTAGCTCAATTGTTAGAGCGCTGCACTAGTATCGCAGAGGTCAGTGGTTCGAATCCCGTACAGGCCTGATTTTTTTCAGGTCTGATTTTCGCTATTGCATAAATAGCGCTCTCTACTGCGAGGATCGTGCATCATACGTATNCCATTTCAACTTTGTTGATATATCCAAATTAAATCCATCTTTGTTTACTTATGCTAGTGCCTTTCGTCCTCTCCGCTCTAATAATTGTTACAAATTGAAAGTCAAATCAGCTAGATTAAATTGTTACAAGTACTCATTCTTTGTCAGAATCGTAAACCTGTGGACTAAACTACCTAAAGACGTAGCTGAAGCAGAATCTCTGCGAACATTTTACGACCAAAATCAAGAATTACCTTTTTAAATGATATTGTAAATAGTTTTTATAGTAAGTATCGTATGTAGTTAAATCGCAACTTAATGTTCTTAGATTTTTTATATTCAAATAGATGTTTAACTAGATGATTATTTTGGAAACAACCTCGATAGGGCTAACCTCTGGTGTCTCCCTTTCTTTCAAATTATTTATTTTTGCGATTTGATTGAATAAAGTATTATTATTGATTGTTAACACTTCTTCTGCAGGCCTTAAAGTTCCACATTGCATGTGACATGTCAGCAGAGGAAGTCCACGATCTTGGTCGAAAAGAAGTTAAAAGAATAAGATCTAGAATGGATGAGGTAAGAAAATTCTGCTTCACGTGCGGCGGAACCCGCGAGATTGAAGCCTTCGCAGACCCCTTGTGGGTCCCTCGGGGTTCTTGGAGGCCCATTCGCAAGACCCTTCGCAAGCTCACATTCCTCCCGGGCTCGAAACCCGCGGATTTCCCCCGCTCGTATCGCAACACTAATGGGAACTTGCTCGCAGGCTTAGGTTAGAAAAGAAACCAACCTCAACGAAACGTTTAGAAGATAGATAATTGGATTAAATGAAGGATGGAATAGACTAAATTCGACAATTCCACCTGAAATACAAGTATTTCACGCTGTGTCGCCGAAAAAAAGTTGTGGTTTTCCATTGGCTGCGAACTGAAGAGGCTACATTTAAGACGTCGATCGGTTCAAGATGCCGCGTTGTTTCGACACCATTGCATTTGATTACGATCTTATTTTTGGCCTCTTTAGATTTGCTTTTAAACATCGTTGGTCGACTTTAAGCTTAAATTAATTATTGGATTTTTCATTCGAATAGCAACTTTCAACGCATTGTATTCGTCTTCCCCTTCAGAGCTGTTTCCTTAGTTTTTAGGTAGAATAGAAGTTTTCTTCTAAGTTCACGTCTCAGACCATTTTCTTTTCCCTTAGATTATCAAAGAAGTGGGTTTTCAAGGCAACTTTAAAGAATTTCTTGATATGCTGCGAACTGAGAAGCGGTTTTACTTTGATACGAAGGTGATGTTACGCGAGAATTAACATTAGGGAAAAAAGAAGAAGATACCAATCAACTGAAGGTCATCGATTTCTCTCTTCTCTCTCCTTACAAAAAATATACAGGAACAACTACTGAATGGTTATAAAGTTCTATGTGCGAAGGTTATCAAGCCAAAGTTGAATGATTACTTCAAAGAAATGCCAAAGATGACATTCGAGTAAGCCTATCCTAAACTTTCAGAAGTTTATTCGTGAATTTAGAGCAATTTTCAATCCAGTATCGAAAGTGATGTGGGATTGTATGGGTTTTTTTTCTTTGCTTCGCTCTTTGATTAGTTTGGAAAACCCGTCATCCTCTCGACCAATCAGATGCTACCTAGTCCCTCGCGTTTTCCCGCGGTTGAGGCAGCTTGCTTTTGCTTTCAGTTCTCAAAAGTTCTCAAGTTTAAGTTTGCATTTCTGAGACTCAGAAAAGCGAGTTTTACAAAGCTCAGTCGTACATCCTTCTCATATTCTGAGCGAGACCGCCTTCAAATTAGCCTCTTGTAATTTATTATGCATCGGCAGTCTGTCAGTTGCTTTTCATAATTTGTAGGATTATCGAGACGCCAACCGATGCAGCCCCTGTGGCCCCTGCAGCGTACTATCTGGGACCTTCTGATGATGGCACAAGACCGGGGGTGTTTATGGTGAACACCTACAAGCACCATACAAGGTAGTGTCCACAAACGTTAGTTTTCTGTTTTCGGTGTCAGAATTAATACTGAGCGAGTTTCTTTTGTTATGTGCACATGTAACATCCGTTTTTAGTTCCGTTGTATTAAGACGCTCCATTAATAGCTTTTACATAGAGTTGTGGTTCTCGACGTTTGTGGCAGGAAGCTTAATGAAACAGTAGAGAAATGAAGGCCATACCTTTGGAAAAAAAAAAAAATTGTGAACACTCGAGAAAATGCCCGCGAGAGAGACACCTCGCTTGCATTGGTTTATAGACACCTTTCGTTCTCTCTTCTAGACCCAAATATGAGATGGTGTCTCTTGCACTACACGAGGCAGTACCAGGACATCACCTACAAGTAAGTACAAATAAGGGATGTGATGTGCATTAGTGGGAACCCTAAAAAACAGAGAGGGAAAAAGGTTTTGAGAAATCCATGCGTTAATTATACTCATTATAAGCAGCGTCACACATATAGTTTGCATGTCTTGGATAATAAACAGCCTTAATTGTTTCAACTTTTCGTTGTCGTTTATTCCGCTGTAACCTTTTTAGCGCTCGTCTACATAACACAAGATGCTTTTAGGAGTTCTTTTAACCCTTTACACACCAACATCAGTTTGTATATTCTCCATACTGGCTTCCATACAATTGCTAAGGTGCTGACAAGGAGAATTTGGTCACCAATCAAGAGCTTCTGCAGTCGGTGATCATTTTCTTTAGCGTCGTGACCTTAATTGTAAGGAGAAATTAGATGCTAATCACCCTTATGGACTACAAGGCTAAGCTTTTTAAGGCTGTTACTAGTTGTAGTTGTAGACAGTTGCAAAATTCCAAAAATGAACTGCGCAAACCATTTTGAATTGATCGTCTATCTCGTGGAGCTTCGAGCGACAAATATGTTTTGGTTTCAGACTGCGTTTGCAATGGAGCAGGAGGAGCAACCATATTTCAGGCGTTATGTGGAAGACAGGAGGTACTACGAAGTACCAGCACGTTTTGCTATGCATACCGCTTATATGGAGGTACCAAATTTATGGAATGATACAACCGGTTTTTCTTGTACTTGTCTCTTTGAGCTATTTTCAATCGAGTGTCGAGTGCTCTGCTTTTACCTTGCTTCGCTTTCTGATTGGTCCAGAAAACTCGTGTCACTTTCTCAACTAGTCATATCCAAAATAAAACCAATCGCAACTTAGTCACTCGCGCTTTTGGCAGTTTACTTGTTTTTGCATTGAGTTCTTATTACTGGCTCTTTAAAGTATTTTCCCCTCTTCTGACTGGTTATGGTTTTGTGTAACTCAATCGAAAAAGCGCTCTATTGTCAAGATCATTTTCATTTCACAAAGTGATGTCGCTGTTTTAAGTATAGAGCTTTGGCTACTTTCTCTGGTGGACGTACGCGGCCATTGACATTATCTTATCATTAAAGTGGATTCGCGGCTTTTGATTTGCAGGGTTGGGGCCTGTATTGTGAGTTTCTTGGTGAGGAGATGGGTTTATATCAAGATCCGTACGACTTGTGAGTTGAATTTTGATTTTTTTGTTATGATGATGTTACCAGTAGTACTAGGCGAATTATGTTCGCATTGTATAAACGTTTCTAGTAGACAACAAATCATAACTACGAAACTAGTACGAGTTCTACTCCTTGCAAAATAATTAGTATAATTTTACCTCGGAACTGACGTAATTCTGATGTTTTATTTAAGGTTCGGCCGATTGTCAACCGAAATTCTCCGAGCGTGTCGGTTAGTCGTCGATACCGGGATGCACGCCTTCGGGTAAGAAAACATGAAAGGAAAAAAAAAACTGACGAGTAGAGCAGCAAACACGCAAACACAAAATTAACGATGTAATAAACGGATAAATGAGCATAAATACGAACGAAACAAGCAAACTCTGAACACACAAATAGTAGGTGAAATATTTTGGCAGTTGTATACTTTTTTAGTATAATTTCAGAGCTGAGCAAAGAGTTTCCAGTAATCTGATTGATCGAGCGGTTCCTTATATTTAACAATTATTCGCCGAAGGCGAGGTGAATATCGTCGAATAATCCCCGAGACGAAGTCGAGGGGATTATGATAATAT